GGGGGGGGGCAGCAGAGTAAATAACCCCTTCAAAGCCTTTCAGAAACCCTCTTCTAGATTAGCTCAGGTCACTGTAGGGAATGGGAAGCAGTCCAGACTCAGGCGTCAGAAACCACACGGAGCAAAACTAGGGTCCACGCATAACTGAGCTTCCTTAAGAAGAGAGGGGGCACACAGAGGTGGCCGGGGCTGTGCAGGAAGGGTATGCCCCCACAAAGGGCTGCTCAGGAACGGGCTGGAGGCCCAGAGGGGCAGTGCCCAGAGGACCACAGGGGGCAACTCAAGCAGGTGAACCTAGGAGAGAGGGATTCTCCTGCCCAGGGATCTGTAATGCTGGGCCTTGTTATCCCACGCAATCTATTCATCCTGGGCTAAACAGCCTTCTCAGCAGGCTCCCCAAACCTCTGAAAGCTCTTGGGACAACCTCAAGGCCTCCAGGCAGGGAGAGATGTTCCTGAACCAGCCAAAGAATTGGGATGCCCTTACCTGCAGCTAACCAGCTGGTGGGGGGGCTGCGGTGATTGGTGTCCCGGGCTGGGGAACCCAGCATGTCTTTCTCCATCACCACCTCAAAGTTGAGGATGAACATGATGACGGCCCCGTCCTCATTCTTCACCGGCACCACGTCCACCAGGCACAGGAAGCAGCTCCCTATGGTGGGGAGGTATGGGTACTGGGACACTTGGACACCCTCAATGGGGCTGAGCAAAACCCAGTAGGGCCCTCCACTTCTATCCCCACCCCCACGGTTCTCTGCCCCCTCCTCTGCTCTCTGCCCTGATGTCCCATCCCAGCATCCTGCTGGGAACTGCAGTTTCTCCTCCCAATGTGTGTTCGCCAGTAATCAGACCACGCACTCCCTCCCCTTCTTCCACGCTGCCCACCTCCTTCCCTCTGTCCCTGGTATATGCTCTCTCGCACTGGCTCTTGATCCTTTCTTCCTTCACAGTTCTGTTTTTTATCATCCAGTCATTTTCCCTACACCCCCAGATCCGAGATCGTTATGCCTTCTCCTTAGTGCAAAGCAGAGTAGCGTGGTGGGTAAGGCTACAAGGTCTGGGCCTAGACTCTCTGGGTTCAAACCTCAGCTCTGCTGTTTGATCGTGCATGTACTTTCCTTGGGTTATTTAACCTCCCGGTGTCTCATTTTCCTCATCTATAGAATGGGGGTGATGGTATAGTGCTTTTCTCATTCGTTATAAAGGTCCCATACATCTATGCCAGCTTGGGCGTAGAGCCACGTCTGGCACAAACTAAATAGTATAGGCCAGTTAGCTATTGCTATGTCTCTGATCCCATCAGGTCTGTAATCACGAGATCTATAAGCCAACCACTAGTTAAACTGAGAGCAAGAGTTTTAAAAACTGTATAGCCATTTGGCATTGCCACAATTGCTATATGTCCACAATGCTATATGTCCACAATGACCAAGCATGCCGTTACGTGTTTTCCATAAGTAATGATCTGCACCACTATCGGAAATAACAAAAACCGATCCTCCACTAGAGAACTGGCAAAGCCAGACCTCTCACCTGTCTCTCTGTCCTTGACTTGTTCCCCTTCCAGTCTGTCCCTGCTCACCAAAGCCCTATATTCCCGTGAAGTCATTCTCTCCAGAAACCCTTTCCTGCAAGAACGAAGCCCAATTTTGTCTCCCGCTGTTCCCTGTCCGTTGTAGTGACCCCAACACCCTTGCCTCTGCTGCTGAAGTAGATTCCTGTCAACCTCTCAAGTCTGCCAAAGGTCAAACCCACTGCTGCAGGAAGTCCTCCAGGAAAAACCAAGCTGCCCATTAAAATCCACCACTTTCTTCCCTTGGGAGCCCCTAAAGCCCCAGAGGTCCCACACTTCCCCATCCTCTTTTCCTTCTCTCGTTCACCCTTTGTTCTCCCACCCTCCTGGAACTTCGGGGGCCTAACTCCCTAGTGCTGGGGCCCTTCTGGCATGGTTTGTCCCTAGTGCAGTACCTGTGAACAGGTCCCTAGCAGAGGTGTTCATGAGGGACCATGGGCATCGGGGAGAGGAGGTGCAGGGGAGAGAAACAAGAGGATGCTCCCAATTCCCCTCCCATGACTTCCCTGAGGTGCTCCCCACCACTCCGTCCCCCTCAGACTCAACCCTGATCTCAGCCAGCAGCAAGGGGTGATGGTGGTATGGCTCAGAGTCCAAGAGTGGTTGGCATTCCCGGCTCCTCGTAGCAGTGCTTCATGATTCCTCAAGGAAGGGCTCAGGAGGTGGGAAGACCTGCTTCAGCACTAGCCTGGAGGGGACCAGTGGAACCAAGGAGAAGGGGGCCTGACTCTTGGGGTCAGCTGACCAGGCTAGAGAAGGGTCTCACAGGGAGGAGGCTGAGACAACTAAAAGGGACAGGGTCCTCACAGCTGTGGATTCACCTGTGCAGTGAGGGTCACCCCTGGAGCCAACTTGGACAGGAGGACACGCAGTGTGAAGCCATGGCAGGGGAGGGACTACGGGGCATGTTCTTCCACCTTGCCCCTTCCATTCACCATACCAGGCCCCCCATTCATTCTCTCATCTCCCCTGACCCCTAGTCCCGGGCACGGCCCCAGTCGAAACCCAGCTGTGGTGCTGGGAGGCCGCAGGGCCAGCCCAGCTGGGGCCTGTTTGGCACCCGGACAGCCCACCCGGAGTTTATGCCCTAATATGGTGATGGCCAGCAGCAGGACTAGCCCTCCTCAGGCCTAAGGAGAGGCCAGAGAGGAAGAGACTTCGGCTTTCAAGACAGCCCCCACCCCAGGGCCCCAGCAATCCAGACTCCCAATCCTTGTTCCTCACCAGGAAACACATCTCAGAAAGCTCCAGAACTTAGATCCAACCCAAGATGGCCCGGTCTCTAGGATGGCCACAGACGTAAGGCCACAGAAATGGCCTTCTGAGCATGAGACCCTCCTCACCCCACCACTCCTTCAATTCCAGCAGTCTCCGAGAGAAGCTAGAACCGCATGCTGAAGCCCCGCCCTGTGCAGGACCCGGGGAACCCCAAACTGCTCGCAGGTCTCTTCTCACCCCCATAGCGCCCCCATGTCTCGGTCAGGTGGCAGAAACACCAGGGGAAAGCTACGCTCTCAGTAGAGGCCTGCCCCTAAACACACGCACGCACACACACAGCCAGCTCCCTCGGCCTCTCCCTTTGTTGACATTCAGGGAATTTTCCCTTCCGAATAACCCTGTCCGAGGCTGGGCTGTTCCAGAAATGTGACCTGGAGCCTCTGCAGGAGAGTTGAGAGAGACAGATGGGCGGC